ATGGTAAGTAAACATGACTGGACTTCTTCATGCCTATGCATTGGCTAATAGCTTAGCTCTAGGCCAAGCTTGACTCCTTAGCTGGACAGTTCTGCCCTCTCTACTCTTGCACTATCCCTCCCTTCCCCCATGCCTCTTGTCTATCAACTTTCGTCTGGAATCCTTGACTAGCTTCAGCTTGTCTTTCTCTTCTGTAAGCAAAACGTATTAGTCCCTCTCTCACCAGGCCTCACCTGAGAGCTGGCACAGCATAGCTACTGCCTCATTCTATTTGTCAAAACAAGTCTCAAGTTCAACCTAGAATCAAGAAATAAGGAAGATCTACTCTGCTTATTTTCTAGAGGAAATGGTATAATACATGGATGCAGGATTGTGAGGAATTAGAAGCATGATATAATTTATTGGAACTGGAAATAGAAGTATATATAGAATAAGAGGGAAAAGTAGGAAATGAATTTCAAAAAGGAGTTATTATGGCCATAATACATTATTGATCATTAGCTATCCGGAAGAATTATCTCAAGAGTACAGATAGTTGATAAATATATGTGCTTAAAAGATACCTATGTGGACTGATTCCCACACTAATTTTCTAGGTCAGTTCTCTGGCTATGATCACAATATCGGTAGAATCATTTGAGAATGTGACAGAAATGTAAGTTCTCAGGTCCTTGTTCTAAACCTACCAAGCCAAGAACTGTGGCAGGGGTGGGGAGGGAAGCTTCAGTACATATTCTGACAAGACCTCCAGGTAATGCTGATACATACCTACTAAAGATGAATGAAGTGATTTACTTCTTTTGTCATATAATCTTATAGTAATTTTTATAGCTTCCTGTAATGAGAGCATCGCATCCTTGAGTCTTGTTTTTGACAGTGTCCACTGGGAAGATCACAAAGCGTCCTGAAATTTTGGCAGATAATTTTTTTTACTCTTTTTTAAAAAAATTTTATTAGTGAGACACCATGAGGTACAGTTGTAGACTGACAAATTTTTGTGCTTGGGTTTCAATTATACAATGATCAAATACCCATCCCTCTACCAGTGCCCATTTCCCACCACCACGGATCCCAGTATCCCTCCCCTCCCCCCCATCCCACCCTGCCTCTGTGGCAGGGCATTCCCTTTTGTTCTATCTCTCCTATTGGGTGTTGTGGTTTGGCAGATAATTTTTAATTTTTATTTTCTTACATACGCTCATTGGGCTACAGGGAGGAAAATTGCTTGAGATATTGCCTCCTCACAGAGCCTGCTATTTTCTGTTACTCTGTTCTTCTAGGTATTTGCTCTTCATACTTAATGGTACTTTTGTTTTAAACTTATGTGATATTAAAATTAAGTGAAAAATTTATAATCTTTCTCATGTTTACCACATGCTCCACTTCTACCCTCCCCCCCACTTTACCTGGCTCTATAGCAGGCACTTTTCTTTTCTCTCTCTCTCTCTCTCTCTCTCTCTCTCTCTCTCTCTCCTCTCCCTCTCTCTCACTCACTCTCTCTTTCTCTCTCTCTCTCATTACATATGAATACAGGCACAGTAGTAAATTGAAACTATTGCTCCAAAATATAATCCTGGGTATGCTATTCTAATTGGAGAGTTAAATATCACCTATATTTCCAAATATGAGTTATAACTATAGATTAATCAGAGAGATTTATCCCTTTCTTCTCTGTAAAGATATCCATGTACCAAAAAGAAAATTACATGAGAGAGTATATTTTCCAGGTTCCAAATACACTCCAAAGAGCACTCCCAAATAGGTATTGAAGAGAATTTAAGATAGTAAAAGGAAATTTAAAGAATAATGAAATACTCTAAAACTAGTATCAGTTGAAAACAACCATTCTTCTAGGTCTGACAGGCTAGAGGGAGCAGTTCTAAGGTCCTACTAGAAAGCCTTGCTAATACTCTGACTCTAGAAGCAGCTGTGATTAAGGAAAAAAATTCAAAGGCATGTTATTTGGCACTTATTTTCTGAATCATGACACATGGATCCTTTTCTTCCTATTTATATATTTTATTTGTTTTCATTAGCTAATTGTTATTTTTTATATTTCATTATGCATAGTACTTTACAGAATCATTTTGAAATTGCATTCAGCCAGCATGGCTGACCCGAGTTCGATTCCTCCGACCCTCTCGGAGAGCCCGGCAAGCTACCAAGAGTATCTTACCCGCATGGCAAAGCCTGGCAAGCTCCCTGTGACGTATTGGATATGCCAAACACAGTAACAAGTCTCACAATGTTACTGGGCCCGCTTGAGCAAATCGATGAACAACGGGAGGATAGTGATAGTGATAGTGATTTATTGTGTTCTGGGAATTTTTTCAGAAATGTAGCTGAAGTTCTGGGAACAGAACCTCCTTCTAAGATCAACTAATCAACCATGCAGTTTCATTTGTACACACACATGCGCATGTGCACACACACACATACACACACACACACACACCTAGAGGTTCTAAGATCATAGTACTTAATCTTTTACTGCATTTTTTATTGATGACTTTAATAATATTATGAAGGTGCTATACATCAAATTAGTACCAGTGCCTACTAATTCTTTTTCAGTTAAAGTTTCTCCACAATTGAGCAACTGGGGGAGAAGCCAAGAGAATTTATGGATAACTGGATGGTTAGAAAGCTTGTTTTTGTCAAATCATTAGACGGACCACAGAACCTAGGTTAACAAAGTGAAAAGATGTGGGTATGGACAAAAAAGCATCCAGTGGACTGCGGTGGAGGAATGTTGGCACTTTGATATTGGCACTGAACATTACATCCCTAAAACATGTAAATCTTTACACACTTTTGAAATGTTACCTCAAGAGAAAATAAATTGGGGAAGGAGGGTGAAGAAAGGTTTTCGAAAAGGACAAAACAAAAAAGACAATACCCATAGTTTTAATTGTGGATGACAGATTCATCCACAATTAAAACTATGACAGGAATTTGCTGATTCTCTGCTAACCCCTGGAAACTATCACAAATCTTGAGTCAAAGCCCTGGAGAGAGATTCTTTCAGCCCTGATATCTCCTGTGCTGAGTCTCTCCTTTGTGGATCAGATCTAAAGATGCCATCGGCAGCAACAGGGCAAACAGCAAACAGTTCTTTACTCCTGACCCTGAAATAAATGCGAGGTGAAACATTTTGTTCTTATCCAGGTAAATAGTGAGACCAAAACAGGAAATGGTTTAGGTTTAGGAAGCTCAGGTCTTCACAAGAGGCTCTTGGACTTTTAAAAGTCTGTCAGTTTGGAGTCATAAAACACTTCATTACATTGGATCCAGGCTAATCTCCCATCCTGAAGTCAGCTGATGAGCTATTTCAATTCCCTCTGCAACCTTAAAACTCCTTTGCCTTGGAACTTCACATTGCTTACAGGTTCCAGGAACTAGGGCACTAATGTTTTGGGGCTAGAGGTTGGGGCATCATTTTGCCAACTGCATTATCCAAAGAACACTTTTAAAAAAAGTTTTCAACCTAGACTGTATAGCCATTATTTTCCCCATGTGACTATAAAATAAGTAAAAATATCTGAATGGCATAAAACTATTTTAAGACAGAGAACCTAACTATATAAATGAGTACCATCCAGCTTTCTTTGAGGAAAATTGTTTCCATCTGCTTTATATCTGTATGAATCATAAAGATGGCTAGAAGGATCCAGGAATCTGGTACAAATGAGGAAACCCCAATTGAAGTAAGTGTGAGCTTTGAAAATAAGCCAACATTGTGTTTGGATAATAGACCATTAACAAAGGTTAATTGTACTTAATCTCCATGCAGTTTGATTTTTTAAAATGAATTTCAGGCAATTAGAGTCTGTTGGGTAAATTGTTAAAACAAAATATGAATATTGCTCTGAGTAATAGTGTAAAATGTGTTTTTAAAATTAACATCCATTTTTTAAATTAAAATCAATAAGAAACGCATTTCAGCAAATAAGAAGCAAATTGATGAACTTAAGCATTTACCAGAACAACTCAGAACACTCATTTTTAGCTCATAAACTAATGAATACTAAATTAAGACCATTTCTGAGCAGAAAGAACTTTGTTTTTCTTTCGTGGGAAATGGAAAGGGTGCTAATTAGGAATATGAAACATTATGACATAATGAAGCTACTGAATCGCTCCAAATTTGTCCTGAATTTTGTTCGCTTCAGGGCTGTGGTGGTAATTTTATTCTCTATCTTATGTCCAAGAATGAGCTACCATCTGCTTCAGAGTAAGTTTACCTACACTAGAACTCTCACTACCAATGAAATTGTTTATTTATTAAACTAATGGATTCTGTCCTTGTTAGCATTTGTCATAATATTAAAATGATCTTTGAATCCATATAGAATCCAATTTAAATAGACTTGATTTAAATTTCTAAGGCACTTTGTAAGATTTCTATATTTGCAAATGTGTTGAACCTTTACAGTCTATTTTCATCTTACCTTCATACAAATAAAATTATTCAAAACATATGAAATCTGTCTCCAGGGCCTCTCCCCTGAAAGTCAAAGGTCAGATCTTAGTTGTACCTCCTTATCCTGGGTAAAGAATATTCTGTTTCTAAACGCTGTTTCTTATGACGTCCCCTGCTTGATAAAACTTTCATGGAGTTGTATCCTTGTCTTCCCTTCCAATATGATTATAGACACACACACATCCAAGCTTTTATGACTGTGCTTTTGACATGACTGCCATGATTTTCAATTTTCTCATAAAACTGGGTTGATTAGTCAGTGATTCTGCATCTAAACTCTGCACATCATCTTTCCAAATGACATCAGTCTTGAAACTACTGCCAGTTCCCCCCAGTTCCCTCAAAGCCTTTGGAAACAGGTTTTGAAGTAAGTGTTCAGCAGGGAGAAGAGGGTCCCTTGGCAATGAATTTCAAAAGGTCACAAGATAGACTCTGAAAAGGATTGCCTGAAGCATGGCCCCAGCTCCACACTCCCATTCTCCAAGGTTTGTCCCCCTTAAGAGATGATTCGGTTACTTTATGTACAATAAAGGAATGAGGAAGGGGAGAATGAAAGAATAGAGAAAACTAAACTGTAGTAGTCAGGATGTGGTGGAATCAAATTGCGGTTTTCGAATTGCGAATGTCTTCCTGGTCTGGAGGAGCTGAGTTCTGGAGGAGAGTCGTGGGCTCTGTTAGTAGACACCTCCTGTCTGCTGCTGGAACACATCAATTGTATCTTCATCCTCCATTTCCAACTTTGCAGGTGTATCTATTTCATTGATTGGCTGCCCGTCGAATCGGAATCTGATCTGCCTCATTGACAAACCCTGTCGTTCACAATAGGCTTTCATTAGTTTGCTAAGCGGTGTATGCCTCTTAATCTTAAACTGCACCACAGAACCATCCTGACCCGCCACCTTCAAATTAATATGATCGTTGTTCTCGGTCTTGACGCCTTCCTTGGGCTTTTCGTCGGCCATGGTGAACGCCGGAAATCTCCCCAGCGACCGCTTCACAAAAGAGGTACCAGGTCCGCACCGAACGCGCCAAGCATTGCATTTTTTTTTTTAACTAAATGGCCAATGGTATGTTTTGATTGACATCAGATGGAGATGGGACTGGGAAAAAACATTGGGTCTGTGAAAATACCCCCTTTCTCCATTAGTGGCATGCTCATTCAGCTCTTATCTTTATATTCCAGTAAGTTATTTTGCTCTCAATGTTTAACAAAAAAAGAACATAAAAATTCTTGCATACCTTGTTTGATTGGAGAATTTTAATGTTTTTCATTTATCATTGTAAAACCAAGGACAATTTTATAACTTTTTTGTACGTAGCTGTTACATGTAGGGCAATCTGTCTTTAAGTAGGGATAAATTACTCTAAAAGGAATGAATCCTAGATAGTTTTCCCTTCAAGTCAAGCGTCTTGTTGTTTAAATAAATTTCTTGTTTAAAATGAAAAAACAAAGAGATGATTCAGCAGAAACAAAAGACCCTGATTAGACTAAGCCGAGCATCTGAGTTCAAAATTCTTTTACCTAACAATGCCACACCGAAGCCCCAAGCCAGGGCAGATGAGAAAAGACATTTTAAAAAACAGCTATGAAAAAACAACTGGAACACACTCTATTTTTGACTTGTCCACATCCTCTGCAGCATCTCCCACATCTCGATCTGGGGTATGTGACTTCTTTCTTTTACTTTTAGTTCACGTTTTGGCTTCTCTCTCATTCTCCCCACTTTCCTCATTTATCACTCTCTCCACTCTTTCTTGCTCTCTCTTCGCTCATTTTTCCTAAATAAAGGTATTTTGTTTCATTATCATCTCATGAAATAAAAAAAAATAAGAAATCTAGGGATTGGATAAAGGTCCAGAGGTTAAGGTTCATGTCCACAGGAGCTCATACAAACTTTTATGAGTTTTGACCTCCCCAGGCACTTTACCTGCAATGTCTCAGGGGGCCAGTGAGTTAAACAGGAGGAAGAGTTTTCTCTCTCTGTCTCTTCTCTCTCTCATGGTTGCCACCTCCTGTGCTAGTGGCTTCCCAGACACTCCACTGGCAGCTCCAAGATGGCCTAGAGTCTCCACTTCTTACTAAGTCAGATGCAAGAGGATTGTCTCTTCCTAGTATAAAAAGAGGTAGTAAGGTATAGGAGCAAGAGAAGACAGCATGGAGCTTTATTGAGGTTTACTTCAGATCACTTCCTTATCAACTAACAACACCAGAGTGGGTGGTTCAATGACAAAATCTGTCTTGGGTGGCAAGAGGGGAGGAGCTTCACCAAATTCTACTCAGGTCATCCCCCACAACCTCCATCATGTACCAGTCCCACATGAGACTAAATGGGTAAGACACTTCCAGTCCATGAGGTATAAGTGTTGCATCTTCTGAGAAGTTCTGGGAGGCTCTCCTCATGAACAACAATGCTATGTGCTTTTTACGTTCTTCAACAGATCTGATTGAATTTGATTAGTCCTTTTGCATTTCACTAAATATGCTGTTTCTCAAAAAATATTGCTAATTTTTTAAAATTATGTCCATTAGTGTAGTTGTAATACAATGCTGCAAAAAGGGCAGTATTTTGTGTAACTCACTTTGTGAGCCGGGTGCTCATGTCTTGTCACACAAGATATTTTATTTCTCATTCTGCACTCTTTTTTGCATGATTTTATTCATCATTTCATTTTTTGAAATATTAAGTATATTAATTATTAATAATATTAATATATAAATATTAATATTATGTTTCTCATCATGTGACATTACTGAGACATAATTCACATGAAATATTGTACACATACTTAAACTGTATAACTTTCTACTGTTGTCTTATATACACCCATGAAAGGTCATCTACAATGAAGATAATAAATACTTTGATCACTCCTGCATTAATCTATGATCCTTTATAATCTCTACTGTTGATCTCTCCTTGATTTCTCTACTGAGTAACGAGGTTCAGAGTCTTTCCATGTGCTTTTTTGGTCAGAAATTCTGGGGTGGGGGAGTTTTAGTCCTTTTAAGAGACTGTATGTGTGTATGTATATGGAGGGGACTTGTATGTGTGGGATCCCCCTGACAGGATCCACTCCCAGGGATGCTTAGCTCAGTGGTGGTGCTAGGACCCATTAGGACCACACTTGTAGGTGTTTCGGACGCAGGCAGTGCTGGGGATCCATCTCAGGGCATTTCAGTTGCCGAGTATGTATCTCACCCTTTGGGATCCTATCACTATTCTCCTACCTTTATCCTCATTTATTTATTTTTAGTCTGTTGGTAATGCTGGGGATTGAATCTGCTGCCTCACACATGACAAGCAAGTCCACTACAAATTAGATATCCCCAGCCGTCAATGTAATATTTGAAGAAAGAAAGAAGGCTGGATTCAATAATTGACCAAATAACTATTTTGAGATTCATCCATGCTGTTGTGTGTTTGAATGGGCTCTTCCCTTTTATTACAAAATAGGTTGCAATTTGTTCATTTGTTCACTATTTGTGGATAGCTGGTTGGTTTTTTTCACTCTAGCTTGGAGTAATCATAAACAGTCAACTATCAACAGTCCTCCAGCTGTTCATCTGTTTGCTTGAGTGGGCCCAATAACATCTCCATTGTGAGACTTATTGTTATTGTGTTTGGCGTATCGAATATATCATGGTTAGCTTGCCAGGTTTTGCCATGTGGGCAAGATACTCTAGGTAGCTTCCTGGGCTCTACGAGAGGGGCGGAGGAATCAAACTTGGGTTGACCAGGTTGGCCACATGCAAGGCAAACGCCTTACCCACTGTACTATTGATTCAGCCCCAATCATAAAGAACACATAAACATTATTTCATTTGTATGAACATAGCTTTTTATTTTGATAAATACTTGAGTTAAAATGGCTGAATCATTAGCTGGCTATATGTTCATGTTTAAGCAAATTGCCGAATGTTTCCAAAGTGCTACAACTTTTTACCTTCCAGCTACTGGAGTATGAGACTTAAAATTCCTCCTATACTTCACCCACACTTGGTGGGGTCAATGGTTTCAATTAGAAACAGTCTTATAGTTGTGTAGTGGTAGCTCATGATGGTTTTAACTTACACTTCCCTACAAAGGAATGAGGTTCATAATATTTTTATGTGCTCTCTTGCCTTAGTAAATCATTTTTGGGAACGTTATCTGTAAAATGTAGTCCTAAAATTTTAATTCAGAAATGAAATACTTTAAGAAGGACTAATACAATGAATCACTGTCAATGGGAACCCAGAGCTGGCACCATAGTTTTTCGGTGCTTCTTGTTTTTTTTTTTTTTTTTTTTTTTTTTTTTTTTTTTGGTGCTCTGTATTCTGACTGTGAAAATGAGGTTTCTCCTCATTTGGGTTCAATGATTCTGCCTTCACTGGCTGGAAAAAGAACAAAAATAAGATGAGTTATTTTTGGACTTGAGTTATTATTACCTTGAAGTCATCATTCTTTGCAGAAATTGGTAGTGGGAGAAATATTTCAGTTCAAAGTATGTCACAAATACCTTGCCATCTTTACTGAATGTCTGTTACAGTGCAGGCCCTGCCCTGCCCTCCACCAATAAGACCTTGTATTCAAGGAGTTGACAAATGTGATACATCCCAAGTTCTGAAGTAGCCCATTTGTCCAAGAAACTACATGAATAAATATTGCAATAATCAAAAACTTAAATTCCCAGCTGTGAACAATCCAACCAAGAATTTTGCATCCTAACTTCCTATTGTCAGAAAATTTCAGATATTGTCATTTGGTGCCAGCACTGCATTGTGAATCTGAGCAAAATACTAATTGTACCAAAAATATACTTATTATAGATCCATTTCCAGATCACAATCACTAGGTCAGATATTGTATTTATAATTATTTTCTGTTTTTGTGGGGTCATACCAGAGTTGCACAGGGGTTACTCTGGGCTCATGCACTCAGGAATTACTCCTGGCCATGTTTGGGGGACCATATGGGATGCTGGGAATTGAACCCAGGTGGGCCCCATGCAAGGCAAATGCCCTACCCACTGTGCTATTGATCCAGCTCCAGTATTTATAATATTTTTATCTTTTACTACCACCCACTAAATTTGGACCTGTGCAGTCATTTTATTAAGGAAGGAAACCAGTGGTGAAATAATACCTCTAAATCCAGAAATATGCAATTTTAAGAAGCAGGATTAAACCCAGATACGAAGGACTCTACAACATTTGGCACACATCTTTTGTTGTTGCTGAGAAAAGACATTTTACCTGTGAGCCCTCCCTGTAGAAGAGTGCTTAGATCTAGATCTAACTTAACTGCTTTTAATGAACTGCCCCATTAAAGTAAAATTAGCCTGACTTGGACAACAACAACAGAAGTCTAGACAATAAGAACAAATATTCTGACATATCCATGGACAGAAACGTATGCTAAAAAAAATCTTCCAGAACAGAACACAAATGATATCTTTTTTTTAAAATAATTATTTATTTATTGAATCACTGTGGGAAAAGTTACAGAGCTTTCAGGTTTAGGTTTCAGTCTTGTAAATATCAAACACATTTCCCTTTACCAATACTTATTTTTAACCGTGAATCCCAATAGAACCCCACCTCCCACCCCTCCCAATTCCTGTAAGGCAGATGAGTTCTAGTTAACACTCTATCTACTTTGACTAGATTCATTGTTTTGATAAAAGATGCACCATTATTATTTAGAGTTTACGACCCCCCCCCCCCCAAATCAGACATGCTGAAAGAGCGTTGTGAAATGGTTTGCTTTCTACAGCTGGGTTTTAAGAATTAAATGATGTCGCGCGGCTGCTATTGCGGCCGCGTGGTTTTGGATTTCTGCTATTTTACTTATTAACCCTGGAAGTATTTCTATTAAAAGTAAGATAGTTAAGGGATTGGTTTCTGTGCTCTGGAGTCGTGGCCGTGCCAGAGAGCCGCTCGTGGAGGGCGACTGGTGACCTCGGTAGGGCATGAAGGACGGACCCAGAATGCCCCCCTTCCCATGAGGTCCCTGCCGCCCCCACCCCCGGCTCAAACCTGC